TTAGCAGCTGGAGGGTATCTGGATTTACCTCCGACTCCCAGAAATCTTCCTAAGGTGATGACGGTCCCTGGTGTTATACCTGATGCAGACTCAAGTAGAAGTAAAGATTCTATTTCAGATGCTTCCACATCGGGATATCGTGACAGAAAAATTGTAGTAGCAAATTTTCTCCCAATAAATGCTCAAAAGGATGCTAAATCTGGTAAATGGAGCTTCAGTTTAGATGAAGATTCACTTTACTTGCATCTGAAAGATGGATTTTCAACTGAAAGTGAAGTATTTTATGTGGGGTCATTGAAAGTGGATGTTGACGTCAGAGAGCAAGAGGAAGTTGCCCAAATTTTGCTTGAAAATTTTCATTGTGTGCCAACATTTCTCCCAGCAGATTTGCAAAAGAAATTCTATCATGGGTTTTGCAAGCAATATCTTTGGCCTCTCTTTCATTACATGCTACCTATGTCCCCTGATCACGGGTCTCGTTTTGATCGGGGGCTATGGCAAGCCTATGTTTCAGCCAACAAGAAATTTGCTGACAAGGTCGTGGAGATACTAAACCCAGAGGATGACCTTGTGTGGGTTCATGACTACCATCTCATATTGCTACCCACATTCTTAAGAAGGCGGTTTTACAGGGTTAAGTTGGGGTTCTTTCTCCATAGTCCATTTCCTTCATCAGAAATTTATCGGACTTTGCCTGTAAGGGATGAAATCTTGAAAGCATTTCTGAACTCAGATTTAGTTGGCTTTCATACGTTTGACTATGCTCGGCATTTTCTCTCATGTTGTAGCAGACTGCTCGGCTTGGACTATGAGTCCAAGCGAGGATATCTTGGGATTGATTATTTTGGCCGAACAGTGTATGTTAAGATTTTACCTGTGGGATTGCAGCTTCGTCGCCTTGAAGTTGCAATGAACCATCCTTCTGCATCTGCTAAAGTCAAAGAGATACAGAAGCAATTTGAAAATAAAAAGATAATTCTCGGTGTTGATGACATGGATATCTTTAAAGGAATCAGTCTCAAATTACTGGCTGCTGAGCACCTATTGCACCAGCATCCTGATTTGCAGGGAAAACTCGTCGTGGTCCAAATAGTGAACCCTGCTAGAAGTACAGGGAAGGATGTTCAAGAAGCAAAGTCAGAGACTTATGAAATAACCAGAAGGATTAACATGAAATATGGTTTTCCAGGATATGAACCTGTCATCTTGATTGATCGACCAATGCCTCTTTATGAAAAAACAGCTTATTATGCAATGGCAGAATGCTGCATTGTGAATGCGGTGAGGGATGGGTTGAACCTAACCCCATATAAATACATCATTTGCAGGCAAGGATCTCCTAAAATTGATGAGGCAATGGGAGTTACCGCAGGAGAAGCTCGTTCAAGTATGCTGGTTGTCTCAGAGTTCGTTGGTTGCTCTCCATCTCTTAGTGGTGCTATCAGGGTCAATCCATGGAACATTGAAGCTGTTGCAGATGCGATGAAAATGGCTATTAGTATGTCTGAGTTAGAAAAGCAGTTGAGACATGAGAAGCATTACCGCTACGTTAGCTCTCATGATGTGGCCTACTGGTCTCGCAGTTTTGTGCAGGATTTGGAGCGGGCGTGTAAGGAGCACTATAACAAACGTTGCTGGGGAATCGGTTTTGGGTTGAGTTTTAGGATTCTTGCTCTCTCTCCGTCCTTCAGAAAGCTCTCAGTTGAATACGTAGTTTCTGCATACAAGAAAACGAAAAGAAGGGCAATTTTTTTGGATTATGATGGAACTGTTGTCTCTGATATGTCCATTGTCAAAACCCCTAGCCCTGAGCTAATATCTATTCTGAACAACCTTTGCGATGACCCAAAAAATACCGTATTCATTGTTAGTGGTAGGGGACGTGGTCCTTTGAGTGAATGGTTATCCCCTTGTGAAAAGTTGGGAATAGCTGCTGAACATGGATACTTCTTAAGGTATGCTAATTGCCTTCTATATTTCATCTTAATTTTGTTGATTCTGTTAAATTGTGATAATCTTTCCTCTTATCGGATTTTACCCTAAAATTATGTTTGATTTTATATAACATGGACTCTTCATTCACCATAGACAAGCTGCTTGATGCATTTGAAAACCTAACCTGGAATAGACAAGCTAATTTTAAATTTGGCCCAAAATGTGCTGTTTCAGTGTAGTATCAGGTCCATGTAATCTATGTTTACTGAACCACATATTACTCCCCAACTGTTGTGTACCTACCAAGGTATTTACACAAGTCAATTGCTATATTTTTTTTCTGATTTCTTCTGATGGTATTGTAGGTGGAACCAAAACTGTGATTGGGAGATAAGCCCGGTTACTGCTGACAATGACTGGAAAAAAATTGCGGAACCTGTGATGCAGCTTTATACAGAGGCTACAGACGGATCTACCATTGAGAGCAAGGAGAGTGCTGTAGTATGGCATCATCAAGACGCAGACCCTGATTTTGGTTCATGTCAGGCCAAAGAATTGTTGGATCATCTAGAAAATGTCCTTGCTAATGAACCTGTTGTTGTTACCAGGGGACACAATATTGTTGAAGTTAAGCCACAGGTATGCACCATCATACCCTATTCTTGTGTGGAAAGTGTATCTGCTAGTCTGTCATTTCATAGACATTACAAATAAATTTCTATAATTTATAGATAAATGAGGTAAAGAGTATGCACATTGTACGTATACATAGAAATAAGGGAATGATACCCTTTAAAAAAAGGAATTGAATTTGTAGTCATTTAAAATATGTTAACATTTGGGGAATGGTAAAGTCCGTTGATAAGTACTCATCAGATAAGGTTAAAAAAAGAATGTATTGTACTTCATAATTGACTTATAAGGGTTATTGCATAGATATTCAATCACTTAGTATTGCATTGGTATTCCTGATATTACAAGTTTTATGGAATAAAAAATCCGAGTCATAAATGAACAGATTATAAACATATAGAGAGAATACGAGCACAGTTTTCTGCCCAGCAATATCTTTACTGTAATGTAACATCAGCCATCCAAGTTTCTTGGGGCTCCTGAAATATGAGTAAATTATTTTGGAAACACGTAAGTTCTGATCTTTCATTGAAGTATTGCTGCTTGAAAACTTTGATCGGTTTAAGTCATAACTTGGGTGTCCTCCATCAAGCTTCAATATTAGCAGCTAACATCAGTTTTCGGTTGAAACTTGCAGGGTGTTAGCAAAGGTTTGGTGGCAGAGAGAGTGCTATCAGAACTGACAAGTGATGGACAGCCACCAGATTTCCTTTTGTGTATAGGCGATGATTTGTCAGATGAAGACATGTTTGAGAGTATATTGAGCAAAGCTTCTTCGCCATCTTTGGGTATTGTGCCTGAGATTTTTGCATGCACCGTTGGTCAAAAACCAAGCAAAGCCAAGTACTATTTGAATGACACAAAGCATGTGATGGGACTGCTTCAAGGTTTGGCATATGCTTCGAATGGGAAGCCGCCTGAGTGCAATCTACAAACCGAAGTCTCTTTCGAGAGCTATGCTTAAGATGTTGCTTGATTTCTGAGTGATAGGAAGGACAGCGAGACACCGAGGACTCCACAAAATGGATATACCACATTGCTTGAATATGGTAGGAATGCGCGAGTTTTTTTGGTTAGGGGTTGGTATGATTTGGGGTGTAGCTGTAGGTTTTGGAGGTTTAGATGTTGATAAAGGGTGTTAGATTACCTTGATAACCCAAAAAAAGGAGGAAAAAAAAAAGTAAATGGTTTGTATATGTTTTCTTTCACGGATTTTTCTCATACAGGGAAACTTCAGTCTTCTGATACAGTAGAGAACATAAACTGTTCCTCATACTGCCCTCATAATCTCTGTCCAGATGGAAACCTTTGTAAATATTCCCCATAGTTATAGATTTTTTCTTAGAATAATTTGTTTCTTTTATTGGTTTTTTGGAGAAATTCTGGGTATAGATGTTTTTTCTTAGTCAACAGGCAATGGGATTCCTGATATAATCTCAAAGTACTCTGTAATAAATACTGTTTATGATATAACCTCAAAATAATACGAGGTAACATATTTCGTATTAAATTTAAGTAAATATTCACTCTAAGCCTTTAATAATAAAGATGACATTTTGAAGAAAAAATAAGGGACATTGGATTTGGTCGGTCCAACATAAAAAAGGAACTACGAGTATTTGATAGGGGACTAGGGGAGTTCATTTTTTTTTTTAAAATCACGATAAGGTTCGACATGACGAACATTATTATAGATAAAACTACAAAGTTAGTAATAAAACTTAGCTTTGGCACACAAGCACAATAAGATTACACGTAAAATGGCAATTCTTTGGGCCACTATTATTTAAAATTTTTGACATTAACTTGACACGTATTTACCAGACTTGACCCAAATACACAAAGTGACATACGGAGTAAAACTCAATCACCCACGACCCACCATCTTTACCTTGTACGTCCTATTCCTAAATACTTCGTAGGTGTAGACTTCTTTCACGGAAAGTGATTTTTTTTTTGGGTTTTTCTATATAGTAATACTTTAAATTTCACTTTTTTACGTTGTGCTCATTTATTTAGAACTTTCCATACTGTAACCCCAAAATACATTTAGTGTCGGTAACTTGTCGTTATCTCGCCGTTAACAAATTCCGTTAGTAGGGCCTACTCTTCACTTATTAATATTTTTTTATCGATTTGCGTGTTAGAAATTGTTCCATTAAAAGTTTTAGGGCTAATTTGGTCCTAAAGATTCCAAATTGAGCTCAGGTTTGGGAAACAAAAACGTAAAATGCCTCGTTTTGCATATTAAAAACGTAAACACGCAAATCAAGACATTTTTTAATACGCAAAACGAGGCGTTTACGTTTTATTCCCAAATCTAAGCTCAATTTGGACCCTTAAGAGACAAAATAGCCCCAAAACCCTTCATGGAACAATTTTTAACACACAAATCGATAAAAAATACTAATAAGTGAAGACTGGGCCCCACTAACGAAACTTGTTAACAGTGGGATAACGGCAAGGTTAACGTATAGATACTAAAAGTAGTTTGGGATTACAATATGAAAAGTTCTAAATGAAGGGGCACAACGTAAAAAATTGAAATTTGAAGGGTTACCATAGAATTTTTTTTTTCTTTTTTTTTTTTTTGGTGGAGCACAAGCGGAAGGTAAAGTTAGAAGCATTAGGTTTTCACTGCACATAAAATTAAAGTCTCTCTGTAAAGAAGTTGGATTCTTCACTCTGATCGGAAAATGGACCGTCGAATAGCAGTTTGTTTTGCAATCCTCACTCTGATTATGATAGTCTCTATTTCCGCTGCTTTCCAGGTTTAATTATCACTTAAACCCCTGAAATATTATGAACTTAATATCTTTAAAGTTAATTACTTTACTTTGTTTAAATTTTAACCGCAGATTGATGAAGTGGTGAGCAAGAAGCATTTAATCACAACAAAATCTCCCTTCTCTACTGCACTTGAAACCCTCCAGAAGCAGATTAAGTACTCTCTCTAACTATCTATTTTAATTTTGACTTTTTAGTGAAGTTATTGAAGAAATTGATTAGGATGAGAAAGAAATGAATATTATTGATTGCTAAAGCATGATTCTTTATATCATTTGCTCAACCATACTTTTAATGTTGATGGGTGATTGTAAAAAATTTGAGGTGTCAAAAATTGACCCGACCAAATATAACTAACCAACTAATTGACCCGCTATGACCGGACATGACTAACCAACTAGTGAAGATGAACAAGAAATTAAAGATAGTTTGATTACTAAAGTACGATTGTTATTGTAATTAGTCCAATTTTTTGCTTGCTGTTGTTTTCAGCAATGCAATTTTTTTTAAAAAATATGTATCTTATAAACAAATAAATATGTTACTTTAGAATAGTTTATTGTTGCTTAAATTTCCATTGATGTTGATGTTAGGGTGGGTGGGATTAAATGTGATGTATGATACTTGCACGACTTGTTTAAATCATATAGCCTCGTATCCGAGCCTTAGATTTGGATTTTCTTGAAAATTTTCTGAAGTCTGAGTAGTATAAAACAAATAAACAATTTGTGTCTTCGCTGTTAATTTTTTAAGTAATGTTCATCTTGTTAAATACTTAACTAAGGAGATTTAAGATTTCTTTTTGTGCAAGTAGAGCTAAGAACTTGATGGACCTTTTGAAATGTTGTCTATCTCTTGAAATGTAGTTGGGCCTTCTGGGAATCCGGTTAAAGGAGAATGAGATTGGTGAATTGCAGTGTTGTATATTCCACAATTTAGCGATGATTTTTTTAGTTTTGTTGCAGGTTTCTTAGTGCCTTAAAACCAAGCAGATATGTAGCTAAATCACTAAGGACATGAACTCAAGTGATCATAACTTATAACCTGTGGTAGCTGTCCAGCTGTCCTTCCTCCTCTGGTCTATTTCTCAGCCTCTTGTTGTTCCTCCATCTCATTTTCTTTGTGGGCTTGTCGCCTTGTCGGGCTCCTGGGGAATTACAATTCATACTTTGGGTGGCTTGAGGATGACCTGAAGCCTGTGTGGTGATTGCATAACCCATTCCCTTGACCCCCATGGTGAGCTATAGACGTGGAAGTTTTGGTTCTATCCATTTTCCATCAAGCTCATCAATGTTTAATTGTTCTTGTTCATCACCTCTCATGGATATATAAAGCCGAACTGGGATCCGTTTTCTCATTTTCTGGTTCAAAGTGTGAAGATATATTATAAAATGATATGATATGATATACTTCCTCCGTTTTTCTTTTATTGTACCATAAAGACTTTTACACTATTCACATTACCTTCTTTGACCATCTTTTGTGATTTATCCGTAAGGAAAAATATAGTCATGGGATTACTCTTGTTTTTTCTAGAAACAATCTGAGCTTGTCAGTGTAAGGTTTCTTGAATTGAGAGGAGAATATGTGATGATTGATAAGAAACTGATGGGATGAACCCTCAATCATCAATAACTGTATGCTAGCTCAAAAACGTGTACTCTGTTGTCATTTGAGTTTTCTTTCTATATTATTAGTTCCATATTGTTCATGGAATAGTTATAGTGGTTGAATTCTTTTATTTCAGCTATACTTTTCATCGCATTGATCTTCTTCGACGTGCAATGACCCATGCTTCATTTTCTGAGGAGAACAACCGAGCACTAAGCATTCTAGGCACGAGCATCATAGAAACATCTGTGTCCTTTAGGTATCTTCTAAATGATATGGATATTTCTTCAAAAACTCTAAATCGTGTGATAGCAGAGGCATGTAATGTGGAGTCCTCATGTGCTGTGGATGGGATGCGGTTGGGATTGCACAAAATAGTCAGAGTCTCTCTCAATACCAATTCTACCACTCCTGCCATAGTCTGTGGTGCTTTCCGTGCAATATTTGCTGCTGTTGCTCTCGACTCTGGAAAGTCTGATGATGCTTCAAAAGTGTTCTGGAATGTCCATACTCGTACAGGTGAAATGGCTGCTGCATTTTAGGTAAGCCTCAGAACTAGTGGTGACTGCATCCTACTATGAACTCATGTTATATGAATCATTTGTTAGGGTGATGGTGTTTATATATCGTATTAACTTTATGTATGCTCTAGAATTAGAATGGCTCAATAACTCTGCTACATATATGTATTGCTCCTAGGGAGGCTAACAGAGTTTATCAATGGTTGTTAATATAAGTATGGTTGTTTTATATGTGGATCCAAGTTTGCGTTTTATTATAGTTTGTAGAAAGCCGATCAATGTCGATGTCAGAATCGTTTGTGATCTTTGAGTGAAAAATTTATTGTGATCATCCTGCATGTCACCTTGAAAGTGACACTTTAGATTCAGAGAACTGCCAAGACGGCCCTTGTTGTCAGTTGTATGTTGAGATCTGTTGGGTTTATCTTAGTCTGTCTCCAGGTTGGTGGTGAACCAGGAAACAGGCCATTCACCATTAGAAAAGTACAATACAGCATTACAGCTCAATGTTGCAAGCTTGCCAAACTTAATTCCTTTAAGCTGAACAAGTCTACTAGTGACTAAATCCTGTTTCTGCCTTTTCATGTCTATGTTCGTGCATGATCAGCACTAAATTTATAATGATTTATCGGGTTTCGATGATTCGCTTGCATCCTGGAAATGATCTAGCTAACTTTAACTAGTATTATAAAATGAAGCTAATCAATCTTACAAGACTTGATTCTCATTTCATGTGACCAAAAGATTCATTATTAATTTAGAGCTATGCTAAGCAACTTTAGTATTATTATCTGTTCCAAGTGGCCTGAATTTCAGGTTTTTAGTACTTTATTCTTGTTTTTTTAGTTACAGAAATGAAAGAAAGATTGTGAAAAATGCGGGTGAGAAATTTGTCTTATTGATAAAGCCACTTGGAAAATGAGGCTTGAGATTTGGTATGAACTGGAAATATCTTTGGCTCGCAAGAAAGACAGACACCCTAAAATCAGCTGTATAATGTACTTGTCCCCCCCACCTTTAGTTTAGCTGCCTAACCCTCTTTCATTTCTTTATGGGAACAAGAGTACAAGACCTTCTCGTTGACTAGTAAATTATGCTACTTGTATTTTGTTACTTTTAGATACTATAACTTAGAGTACTAATTACTCTTAAACTATTATCAACAAGTATAATACTAGATTTGCATGTAAAAGTAATTTCATTATGAGTGTCATTTCACCATAGATTCTATGAGGAATTTGCAGTCAAAGTTCGATCTCAAGATGTCAAATATTTAGAAACGGAGGTAGTAGTAATGAAATTCTTTTTAAAATTTTCTCTCTTGAAATAAACTTGTATAAATGAAAATATAGCTATCCTTGTCTTCCAATGTTACTCCAAAATAGTGGTCTTGTTCAATAGTCTTTTGGTTGCCTAGTGTTCTGAGATATCTGCTAGCTAATTTTTTTAAAGATATTATAATGATGGTCAGTCATCAATATGAGATCATTTAGGTGATTAACATCTTATATTGCGTTGAAGTGTTGCACTATATTATCTGCTTTTATGGCATTGCTAATACTAGTATATTGAATTGAGTACAAGAAGATATGCTATTGAGTGGCCACCTCACTGTCTTATCTTAGGATTAAATGGTGGGGTTTGAATTTTGGTAGGTAGCCGTTAGCCTTAGCCACTACAAATAGAGGGTATGCAAGAGGGCTTATCTAAGTGTTCTTCGGAACCATTATTGGAGCATCACTTCATTCTTCTTGTATTTTTGTTATTATTGAAGAAACCGATAATAATATAAAAATCCAAATAAATTGCTGTTTTATAAAGAAGTATTTTACTTGTATTTATTTATGAATAACAATGGTTACAATTTTGTAATTTTGATTGTTATAGGGGTGTTTATATGATAAGACAACTCGCGAGTAACTTAAACTTAACTCAATTAAAACTCGACTCGAGTGATCTCGAATTGTATTCTAATTTAGCTCGAGATGTTGGCAAGTTGAGTTAAGATACTTGAAATGTGGCAAATGTCCAAATCCATTGTTTATCCTAGTGGTGCTATTGAGCTGGATGTAGTTAAAACCTAATTAAATTAAGCTCAATTCAACTCGAACTCAATCCTAAATATTAGCTAGTTGAGTTATGATACCCCAAACTTGAACTTATCTCACATCTAAGTACCCTAATTGTGGGGTTGTCAAAATACGGAGTAACAACTTATGAATTTGACCTTGAGCTCCAATAAACTACATCCTACTTTTATTGTTAGGAAGGTAATTTAGGTAAGAGTCTTGTCATTGAGCTAATCTAATTAATTACGAAATTGGTTGGTTATAGTTAAAAATTTGGGCATGAGTCACGATTGAGGATAAAAGATCAAAAGTAACTTGACTCTTTGACTAATCTTTAGATCTTCACCTCAATTTTTTTTTTTAATTAGTCTATACCAAATAATAACGGCCATTTGTTCTGTTGCTCTGTATAATAGATTAATAACCAATCATTAGATCTACCTAATGAAGAACAACTTAGGCCACAAAGCTGGCCATTTTTTTTTATTTTTTCTTTTCGGTGGTTCCTTTTTAAATAACTTTATGTATCATGGGAATCATTCGATAGCCTTTATCTCATTTTTATTGACAGTAGCAAACAATTTATCAATCGAAGCATGCCAAGATTCCTAGGCGATCCACCTGATTCTGGTTGATTAAGTTAACAGCTCCACTTACATTATTATTCTTGGTGTTGTAACCTCTGTATAATAAGTCCGATCTGTTTTGTAACTATCTTTTTTTTTTTTTTGGTGTTTCATCCGCTTCATCCTTTGGTGCTGGGTGGTTAGGTTCCATTCCCCTCTCAATTGTTGTTGTGGGGGATCGAACACACGGTCATCCCTACTAAATGTAGCCCCAATCACCACCAACAACCCAATTGGTTGTTTTGTAACATTTTAATTCATGTAGCCGGCCTCATCACCAAAAGGTTTTAATTTGCGTTGTAACGTTCGTAAAATAAGTCTGTCTTTTATATAGTAAATAAATATTTAGGTATCATAATCTGGAGACAAATATTAGAGAAGAGAACTGAGGTTTTGTTAGATTGTTTGTTAATGAGGAAAGTTGCTTAATTGGTAAAGTAATAATGTTCTATTTCTAAACCAATATACTTGTAGTAACTTTTCTTTACTCTCATCTTCTTTAATGTGGATGACTCACATATACATATACAAATGTTGGGTTCAATTCGTAACGGTTGTCCTAGGTTCTTAAATGAGAATTGCGTACATATTCGAGTATTTTAAAAGCTTTATGTACTAAATTGCATATTAAATACTAGACATATATAAATTGGCAACTATAAACTGCATTTATTTAATAAGGCTTCGTCTCAAAAGAGTCAAAACCAATTGGTATAACTGTGCAAGTAGAATGACTCCCTTAACTTACGTAATGTTTATAGACAAATTTTTGGAATTTAATCCTTAAAGTTCTCACACACATAAAAGTAAATACGAATTATGTTACGAATAAAGATTTTTTTTCCAAAAAAAGATGCAAGAGCAATGAAAAAGAAAAATCAATATCAAGCCAGAGTATATCAAGTTCAAGAGAGGATCAAGGAATGGAGGGTGGTTAGTCCCTCCATCCATCTCCCCCGGTCATGACCGGGGTTTGATCCTCACCCCTAGCACCCTTCCTGTGATAGGAGGGGCACCCCGTATCTTACCGTAAAAAAAAAAAAAAAAAAAAAAAAACCAAAAAAAGTTCAACACTTTAACCTAACTATGTTTAAAAAAAAAAACCTAACGAACAAGAGGACTAGTTGGCACATATGTAGAAAATATGATGTGCACTCACTTTCACATCTCGACCTCCCAAAGTCCCAAGCCTAGATAGAATCATAGAAATACTTCCAGCTCCTATCCCACTGTCATCTTTCATTTATAAATAACACAAAATCATCTTTCACATTCCCTCTTCTCTCTCTTCATTCCCTTACACCTCTCTCTCCTTTACCCTACAATCATAGTTGACTCCAAGTTCGAGCAGGAATCGGCAATTTCTATTGTACAACCGAGAGCGACACAATGGACGGAAAAGGAAAAGGGAATCCATATCCGATAGATAAAATGTCAAATAAGACCGAACCCGAAACCGATACACCGGAACTCCCAGTCTCCGTCCAACAACAAGCAATCGACGAAAACGAAGCATTGATTATGGAATCCTTCTCCTCTAACAACAGATGCTGCTCTTTCCTTCCTTGTTTCGGGTCACAGCCCAGCCCGACCCGATTATCCGGGCTTGGCGGGTCATCCTCCTCTCCGTCCATGTGGGAGAGGCTCCAACAGACGGCTGAGATTGAAAGTAAGTGGTGGGCTGGGCCGTTAAAGGGCCTTAAGAAGATCCGGGAGTGGTCCGAGATAATTGCTGGGCCCAAATGGAAGACTTTTATTCGTCGGTTTAATCGAGGTGGGAAGAATGTTACTGGGTCTGGGAAATTCCATTATGACCCTTTGAGTTATGCGCTTAACTTTGATGATGGTCCTGGGCAAAACGGTCATTTGGATGATGATGAATATTTTCCTGATTTTTCTTCTCGTTTTGCTATTATTCCCAACTCTTGTAGATCATCTGTGGATTTGGGCAAGAATGGAAATTCCTCTCTTTCTTAATCTTTTTTCTTTAGCATAGATTATTTTATACAATTAATTGTATTTATTTATTACTACTACCCAAAATTTTGAGTGTTGCAAATTGCAAATATTCACATTGCTGATTAATGATTATATTCATGTCCCACAAAGCCACAAGCCACAAGCCACATAAACATGATAACAATACTGTTTATAAGGGGACGTTACATCGACTTTACCAGCAAAAAATGGTGTTAATGGATGATAACTAATTTAGTTAGATAAATACTAACCTTTGGGTTGATATCAAACACAATCAAATTCCGTTTGCGAGACAAGGAGGGAAAAAACAAGCACGAAAGATAAAAATGTTGTGCTTGAATAGGTATTTAGGTGTTTGTTTATTTTTAACTTTTATAGGAATAGTTACATGAGAATATTGGAGTAGTGCATAATGTGTACCATACACTTGGTTATTTTGATGCAAAAGTAATTTTGTTTTTGCTAAATGTATGATATATATGCGATTGAGCTATTTTGTTTTTGTTTCTGATCAAAGGCTATTACGGAATTATAAGCTTGAGAATGTGTTTTAGCAGGATGTAATTTATATCATGCCGCAATCCAAGAAGAATAAGTAAACTAATTGCATTTTGTCTATTTTGTGAGATATGACTCTCAGAATAAGATGTATGGGGACATGGGGTTTCATTGTTTCCTCAGTCCCCACAATTAACATCAGGCTATTTTGGTCTCTCTCACAATTGATTACACCTAAGCGTAGGTCCACTGTATAACTTAGAAGATGCGTAGACTAGAGGATTTTTTTGGTGTACTTACAAATAAAATTAAAAAATTAAGTACATGATTGGGGTGACGATACTTTCCATCATTTAGATGGAGTACACTATTCTAATTTTATTTTTGATTCACTTGTCTTAAATAAATGAAAATCAACTCATTATATAAGAGGTGAACCTATAGAGCATGCTTGTATATGAGAGTATATGACTAATTAAATTTGCCATGAAATTTGCCGCTTATAATTAGCCTTTTTTTTTTAAATAATGAGAGATAGAATAAGCTTCCGATTGAAGAAGATGTTGCATCTCTTTTTAGAGTTGATAATACAAAGACTAATTCTTTCTTTGTTAATGACAAGGAATTGTATCTTTATATTTCAAATTTCGGAGTGGGAATCGACAAATCTGAAGAGATCTTGCATAGTCTTGTAAAAAAAAAAAACCCAATTTCCCAATCTCTAGCTACCATTTAGATGAAAGAACCATGAAAATTAAGTTTGTGGAGTGAAGGATACGATAGATTTACATCTTATGCTTTATTGCCATCTATCGTATTCGAATCTAAAACAAAACTAAATTGCCACTTTTAGGCTCAACACATGAGAAACAATGCTATCTAGAAAATATAAGCGAGATATTTACTTGATGACAAACTAGTAAAACACGTGGTAAAAACATATCTTATTCATATGTTTAACTCATATTGTAAATAAGATTGATATAATAGTGCTATGTATATAGTTCACCTTATTTTAAGTGCCTACTTGTATTTCGAATAGATTAGAAAAATATATTTCAATAAGGAGAATTAAAGTTTAAACATAATTTATCGTTTTTGTACGATTTTTTATTGTTAATTATTTTAATTTCATAATGGAAAAAATTATAAAAATTACAATCCCACTTGATATATATTTTTCTTCATAGAATTGTTTACACATAAGGTAAAAGTTTGATTAATTTAGACAATCAAATCAATTCATATTAGATTAGAAAAAAGAAGTTCAATTTAAATCAAAAAAACAAATATAAAGTGAAGTAAACCGATCTGAAGTTGAATCCTATAATCGTGGGAGCATTGTGAAGTTTAATAATCCAATATCCAACCCAATAAAACGACTTCTCCTTGCTCTTTTTGTTAAAAAAAAAATTAAAATCTTTCAATTAGTTTCAAACGAGTTCCATCCTTGTTTAAAAATACACACACACCAAACAAAAAAAAAAAAAAAAAAAAAAAAAAAGAGGTTAACCGGTAACTCCGGTAATCCGGAACATTCTTTCCCGTTACAAGTTACAACCATCCTCAAAGTTCACACAATCTCCCTCATTAAACCCCCTTTCACCCCTTCACTCTCTCTCCTCTACTCTCCACCACAAAACCCCCAAATCCAATAATGTCAATCGAAGAGCGAGTAATCATCGAAGACAACGCCGACGATTCCCCTTCCACCACCTTCAACCACCACCAACGCCACCGCTGCTGCTTCCAACTCCCCTGCTTCGGCTCCTCCCCTTCTCCTTCCTCCACCACTCCCCGCCACATCACCCTCGGCTCAAACCCTTCCTCCGACCCCACTTCCTCTTTCTGGGACCGCTTCCGCACCGCCGAAAACGAAAACCGTTGGTGGTCCCGCCCTCTCACCGCCCTCAAGAAGATTCGAGAATGGTCCGAGATTGTCGCCGGTCCTAAGTGGAAGACCTTCATTCGCCGCATCAATCGCCGCCGTCCTAACCACCGTCACCACCACCACCACAACCAGCAATCCGCCGGGAAGTTTCAGTATGACCCCTTGAGTTACGCGCTTAATTTCGATGAAGGACAGAATGGTCATTTTGATGAGGATTTCGCTGGTAACTACCCTGATTTTTCATCCCGATTCGCCGCGTCTTCTGCTTCTGTTACTCCTCTCAAATCTCCGGTGGAGTTTGATAACGGCGCGGCGGCTTGCTGACGGTGATTCTCGCCGGAAAAGGTGTATTCTAGAAGATTGGTTGGTGTTCAATACGTAAAGTGCGCCAGGTTGGCTAACGTGCGCCGGTGGGTGCCGGAAAGTGACATCGAGCAATGGTTGTTGGTTTGACTTTTTTTGGTGAGGGAAAAGGTTCAAGAACACAGCTGGCTTTTTTATTTTTACAATTTTATAATATCTTAGTTTTGATTTTTATATTATTAAAATATGTATGCACCAAAATTACAAGTATAGTGAGACAAATGATAATTTTTGTTTGGAAAGAGTAAAGACAAAAAAGTAGAGGAAAGATGGAAAGGGTGTGGGAATTTGTATAGAAAAAGGGGTGCGTGAAAAGGGTAAGTGATGTAAATGGTGAACAAAGTGTTGGTTTTGATTTTTTTTACTTGTTTGGACTAGATTTCTATGAAAGTGATATAGAATATCTTATAATTGTTAATATTATATTTTTAATTTTTTTTAGTTTGATTTATTATTGTTGATGTTTATTTATGAATTAACAATGGTGCTCGTATTAAGGCATTAATCCATGGAGTATACGTGTACGTGCTAATGTAACAAAATTGTGTATCTTTGCCAAATAAGTCATGCTATATGCACTTCAATATCCTCCAAATTTAATATAGCTTAGAGATTTTTTGTTTATTATACTCCTAATTTGATTGCTTGTTTGGTAGGCGATTTCGACAATGAAAATAAGGTATTTTATCAAAAATGTCCATAATCACCTATTACATCTGAGTAAAAAAGTTAATGGATTGAATTGTAATTCAAAAGGTTTTTCCTTTATAGATACTAGGTTGAATTAGTTTGAATAGTCTATTCCCTATAGAAAAATATGATACCTTGTACACTACAAAAATCAATTCTCTTTTCCCATCTTGTACTGATAGAAAAGAGAATAATATCTTGTTTAGATTAATGTTAAACGGCAAACAGAATTTTGACCATAAGTCAATTATTATGTTACTTCATACTCATTTACTAGAAGTTGGAGAGTCCACCTTAATCAATTTCCTAAAAATTAACCAAGAGTTATACCAATTAAACTTCGTACTTGAAAATATTCCTATTTTTATAACATGCTTTCAATTGCAGACTGCCATTTGTTGCAGATTTCCTATTATTTAATATAAATAGAATAGTACTACAGAGACATAGATGACGAGCTGTAGAATTTGCTTCAAGAAGAAAACAGGGGGCGGTGGGGGCGCCTTTAAAATAACATCTAAGATACCAATCATAATTTTATCTGACTCCCTCATCTTATAATTTTTAATATTATAATTTCAGATATTATATTTTCTCTAATCTTTAATTATCGTAACAGCTTGATTTTTGTTATTATTCACGTATGCTTTGATGTAAAAATATAATCATGTAAGATCTTTTAAAATATAATCCGGTAGAATACGTCCCAGTATGTTGTGAGCTTGTGATGCATGAATCTCAAGTTGCAACGATAATAAAAGAACATAGAAAGGCGAAGTACACTAGATGAATGTTTATGGTCTCCCCCTCCCAATGCCATGAACCACGTCGCAAATATAGGGCAAATGTTACTTTTCATGCAGGCCCATTTCCCATTGATTCTCAAGGTTTACCCAATTAAAACTTTGTCAACAAAGAGTAAAACTAGTCGAGCCAAGCTCAACCCGGCACGGTGGTACAACTTTTGTCCTTTTATCGGCAACCTTTGTCCTTTTGTGATATTATGTTGGGATCAAATGACAATAATAATACTAACAATGACAAATTAAATATTATCAAAACAATATTTAAACTAGTACCGACAATATGATTTTTAGCGTTTAATCAATACGAATTCACTTTTATGGTACTAGCTATCACTACTGTACTACTTATATACCATAATGAATCTTCTTTTCTAGTTTAATGTCCACCATGCTTCGCAATAATAACTGTTTAATAAGAAAGTTTTGACCAATACCTGAACTTAGTTGGCAATGGAACCTCCGGCGTTCTTCGGCTTCTGGCTTTACCAAGGTAGCTAACCCCAACCCTGCCATTCCATAATCCCAAGCTTGGTAATGTATCCAAATGAATGGAGCATCCCGATGAAGTGGATACGGATTAATGCGTAATGATGCCACTTTAGAGTTTGTAGGAAACTCTACTCGTTCTCCCCATAGGGCTTGAACATCAAATAATCGACTGGATCTTGTTACTACCAGCTCGTACCATGTTCTAAAATCATTATCCATTATTTTATTGAGTATTATATTTTGTAAATCAGGAATGAGTTGAAATAACATAATCGTTACTTCAAAAATAAATAGCCTTTGGACTGCTTGATGGCAACCCTTGATTAAACCATCTCGTAATCGTTGTTTTGCTGAAATGATCAAGCCTTGCATTAGGGCCCAATTGGAGGGTGAAATCCGCTCCATTGCTTTCTCTATTTCATTAATGAGATTTTTTTTTCTCTACATCCATCTTTTGAAGTTGGTTGTGCAGGAGGTTTTTGTGTTGCCTTGAGCTTCTTTGACATTGCAAATTCTCTGGTCAAGCTATCTGCCAAAGAATTCTTTGATCCCTGAATATGTTCAATAGTAAACGAAAATTGGTTAAGCCATAATTGCCAACGCAGGAGTCTCCCTTGCACTTGAATATTAGACAAATTCTTTTTAACAAAACCAAGTATGCCTTTGCAATCAGTTCTAATTAGAAATTGCTTTGGGGCTAAGAAGATTAAAAACTTCTGGATCCTTCTAATGACTGCCATGATTTCCTTTTATATTGTAGAATAATTTAACTCAACTTTATTAAAACTTCCGCTATTGTATCTACAAAGTTTTTCTCCTTCTTTGATTTTTAGCACAACACTCCAATGTTCATTACTAGCATCTGTTTCAAGGATTAAATTATCTTTACTAGCAGGAAGTGTTAGCACAAGAAGATCTTTACACATAGTTTGTAAATCTTGAACAATTTTGGAATCACGCACTTTTCTTCCAATTCCAAGTTATTTCTTTCTTGAGTTTTTGTTGTAATGGTTTTCTTAACAGGGCAAGATTTTCTATGAAATCAGCCATCCTAGAAACCTTTCTAGTCGTTTTCTATCTTCAATTTCATTTGAGAATTTTTCAATCTTTTCTAGGATATGTTTTTGTAAGATTATTTGTCCCGCTTTAATTTCTAATCCTAGAAACTCAATTTCTTGTTTAGCAATAGACACATTTATCTTTTCCAAGGGATTATACCATGCTCAACACATTTTTTAGTTACGGCTTTAAGATCATTCTTACGTTTCTCTAAATCTTTTGAGAAGATCAAAATATCATCTATATAGACCAAACAACAATGGTTGAGTTTTCTAAAAATATTATCCATTCTTCTCTGAAATATTTGTGGAGCATTTTTATTACTAGCCACTCGTAGTGTCCTTGAAGGGCACTAAATGCAGTTAATGGAGTGCTTTCTTCTTCCATTTTAATTTGTTAATAACCACTTTTACAATCCATTTTAGAAAACCATGTGCCTCCTTGTATTCTATTCAATAATACTGTTTTATTAGGAATGTAATAGCCATCAAACACAGTATTATCATTTAGCTGTTTATAATTAATGACCATCCTAACTTTACCTCTTTTTTCTTCTGCATGATTTCTTACCATGAATGTTGGACTATTATGAGGACTCTTACTATTCCTAATTAACTTCTTATTCAACAATTCTTTTATTTGCTCATCAAATTCTAATATATCTTGGTAGGTATAAACCATTTGTCTTACTCTGATAATCTTATAAGGATTTGTTAGAGTTATCTTAGCAAACGCTTTATCCTTTTCCCAATGATCTAATGGATTTGTTGAGTATAGTTTTCACATAATTTTTCTTGCTGCTTAATTATCTGATTTATTAATGATGATTTACGCTCAGAAATTCTAAGTGCAACCTCTCGTTGTGTAGGTGTAACCCTATCACCACGCTGGTTGTGCGTAAATTTCATAATCTGATGAGTGTACGCTTTAGTTAGTTTCTGTATAGGAACAGAATGACCATTAATAGTAAAGATAATTTGATCAATGGTTTGAGTGCATGGAGAGTATAATCTTGTAAAGTTATTTCCTATTATCATATCATGACTAGGCTGATCAGTTACCCATAAAATAGGAATAACACATTAAACACCTCCAATTTCTATTAGCAATTCCTCTATTATTTTAGTATGCATCATAACACTGTTATTAGCAATTCTTACTTGCATAGGATTTTAAGCTTTTTTCCACAAGAATTCTGGAAATAATGACCTTTTTCCAAAACATGTAGAACAACCACTATCAACATATGCACATAATTTATATTTATTATATTCTTCAATCCATATATCAATTGGAATATAAATGCTATTAGGATTAGTACTAGATATTTCATTATAGGCTTCCATTTGCATATTAACTTCATCTTCATATAGTGGTTCACTCACAGTTTTTGTCTTATATCCAATTACCTTTTTTTTTTTTTTTTTTAATAGGATTATTTGGATCCTCATTTATCTCTAAATTAGAACATGAATCAATATCAATACTATGTCTCGCTGGTTGTTTTAAGGCTTTCTTAATTTCATATTTTTCATTTAGCTTCTTTATTAAAGTTAATATTTCTTCTTCATCATCTTCTGGCTTTTCATCTGACTTGTTTTTTCATCTTTATTGTAGTTGAATTCTGTCTACTTAGACTTGGTGATCTAAGGCTCATACTTGTCTGTATTTCAGGTTTTGTAGTTATCCCAATATGAAGCAATCCTGATTCATCAATTAACTACTTACTTGACCTATTTTTTTACTGCAGGATTCAAGAAGAATTCTTCCCAAGTTTTTTCAATTTCTATTCCATTAAGATTTACCTTTATAACGACAATCTTCTTCTTAGGACCTCCTCCTTGCTCATATTTCTGAGCATCTACTATTTGTTTCTTGAAAGATGAATCTATAGTGTTAACCAACTTATAGACTACCTTCCATCTTAATTGTATAGGTCGAGTTCCTTTATGCATGTTTAATCCATCAGTTAATAACTTGATTGTTAGAAACTTTGGAGCATATGAATCTTCCAAGCTCACATAATATCTTGGTTCACATATATAACTTACAGTTCCCTGACTTAAGCTACATGTGATACCACTAATAATCTGTTCATAAAACTCTTTATGTCTAACATCACAAACAAAGCTTAAACATTTAACAATCTTACCAAAATCTTGTAAAGGAGTTATGTATACTTGTACTACACCAATACAAATATAATTATAGTTTCCTTTTTCTTTATGGTTCTTAATGCTTTTCCAGTTTATGATATTAATTTCTGCTGCTTTCTTTTCACAATCCTCGATTACTATACTTCCTTCCATTTCTTCACATACATATTTAGTTCTAGTTTTAAAGAAAGAAGTTTTAAATATTTTATCTTTAGTAATTTGAGGGAAATTCCAGTTTTCCTTGTTCATTTAATCTAGGTCTTTATCTTCAATTGAATACTCCACTCTTTTTAGTTGACCTATAGTAATTTTACTCTTATCATCTTCATTATCCGACTCGGAATTTTCTAATACTTCTCATTCCATCATTTTATTTATTTCTTCATAATTTTCATCTTCGAATTCACTGTCTCCAGGTTCTTCATTATACACATTTTCTTTGATATTCCATTCGTTTTTCATTAGGGTCAGGTCTAGGACCAATGAATTCTAACTCAATCTATTGACATAATTGTCTAAACATTCTAGTAGGAGATTCACTAGTTCTTAATTCAGTTTTAACCTCTTCATTAATACCATTATACTAGTCTTCTACACAACCATAGAAGCTATGTTCAATGTATTTCAAGAAATTTTCAAAAGTCCTTTCAGTGTTTAGGTTAAGTACACTACTCATGCTCTTTTTCCACTGATCTAAAACATCTTGTCTATCTCTTACTCCATCTAATTTGAGTTTATAACCAGTTTAGCTATTAGGTTCAAGAGTTACTTCTTCTTGCTTAGGTATTTGAGTAGGCATAACCTTGACACTAAACCGGGTAGTATTCCCTGGTATGTATCTTGGTCGTGTACAACTTCCTTTTCCTTGATACCTAGGTCTTTGGATAACATTGTTTACGTTATTTATTATTTCTTCTCCAACATCATTATTATTCAGAATCCTTTTTCCTAATTTATTATCATTCTTTTGTTGAACAACTTCGATAGGTAAAAAGTCTAAGTCTTCTAGTTTCATTAATCCCATTTGTTGATATAAGTGTTCTTCTAAATTAACATTGTTATTTTCTTCTAATTCATTATCAAGAACAATCCCTTTTTCAGAGATTATTTTCATGATCTCATTTAATTTATCAGGGTCTTCTTCTTTATCAAATAAGGTTTGTAACTCTTCAATCGTTTTCTCTCGAAGATGATGACTCATTTTTAGTCTCTTTGTTCATTTTCTTTTCACTAGTGGTTCTCTTAGGGAGGGATATAAAAAATTCTTATTTTTATCTAAGTTTTGAAAAGGATATTTATATTTATAAGGAACAATCTTTTCCTTATGAGGTGATATTTTTTTGTTAAACTGATGTCTAACTTCGTTTGTTAAAGCAAGTTGTACTTGTTTAACTTGTTCTTAACTCACATAAATTTTTATTAATATCAGATGTTGTTGCAAACAACTTATTTTCTATATTCATGCAACGACAATGTATACTATCAACTTCTACTTTTAGTTCACCAATTTGATCTACTATATAATTAAGGACTGGGCCAAAATTACTAGTATTTTCAGGAATGTGATAGTAGTGTTTAAACTCTGGTTTCTCACACTCAATAGATGGTCGAGAGTTCTCCAGTTTTACTTAGTTAATAACTTACTAATAACTGTATGGTTTAATACCAAATCGACAATCCCAAACAGTTAAAAACATTAATAGACAATATATAATGTTTTAATGACAATATACATAAAATCTTACTATTTACGTAATTCTTAATTTTATCTTTTGACATAACTTGCCGCATAATGACAATATTTTGATACTAATGAGTGACAATAAAATTGTAACCAACGACAGAATACAAAATAGCTAATTCAAGTAACACATACCACATAATATAAGTAATGACAATAAAACTTTTGAAATGACAATGTTTTTAAAGTTTTAAACTTATCCTACTGATAAGAGTTTAGATTTATGTTGTTTCAAAAAAAGAGTTTAGAGTTCTGAAACTTTTTTTATTTATATATTTATTTTTTGCTTGTGCACAGATTAGTAGGCACACCACGTTGCTAGGCTAAGCATTACCCAAAGTAGTCACATGGTTTACTCAAGATACCTATACAGTCAAATACATGTTTTCAATTGGGTATTTAATCTAAATCCCTGAAAAAATTGCCTAATTCTCAGAGACAATTGACTAATTTATATTAACCCATGTGATCCTTAGCTTCTTAATCAAGCAAGATTGGTTAGTTAGGTCACCCAAATGATTGAATAGTTCTATTTAATTTGGGAACATTTCCTAGTTTTAGTTCCTCTGAAAAGTTTGGTGTTTCATGTCTTCTTAAATATCTATGTAATATCAATATCCAAACACAATAATAACAAAAAAAGATTAAATGTAAAGAGTATAACATTATACTATTATAGTATTATAGTAGTAGACCTGACCAAACCTGATAGAAAACCCGACCAATAATATATGGCATACGCAACAAATAACCTAACCCAGCTTTCCAAAGCTCTCTAATTATCTCATCAAATAGCTGGGTCCAAACCAAACTTGCAAGCTGTTACCAATAGTGGTTTGAATTCACAACCATTTCCTACTCACCAGCCTAAATTAGTCCATAGTCGCGATATTTCCAACACTAACCAAAAGGACAGACTTTGTCCCAAAAAAAAATTAAAAAAGTACAGACTCACACCTTCCTCTTAATAGGCTTATAGCTCCAATAGAGTTACTTAATCGTGTTGTGCATACCACATTACTTCTGTATGAAAAGTAAGAAACTCATAACAACTCAGTGTCAAACTTAATATTACCAACTTTCAAAAAATTACAACGGTAATATCTTTCTCAGTTTAATTGACAACAGGAGAACAAATAAAACTCATACATTACTAAAAAATTTCAAAATCAACTTTCGGTCGTTCTCGTTCTCTCTGATGTCAGGGAGCAATGAATACTTAGCTATTCCAACATTTTCAGGTCAAAGAGGCATTTCCATAAATTACAGGAATATATAGTTCGTGAAATGGATACAAAAGAAAATTGAAATTAAATTAATGAACTCTAGAAGCCAATAAAAAACACTAATAGAAGAATACATCCAGGCAAGGGCAGAAAGGAGCTGTACATAGCTATTAGCTACAACTGCATAAAGAGAGTAAATTTTATCTCAGAAAATCTTCAAAATTTTGCTACAGCCTATTTTGGTCTGTATAGGAGGGCCATCTTCAGGAAAAAGGGTGATTTTGATTAGGCAACCAGTTATGAACGTAAATTTCAAAACAGGCATCACTGACCCCTTCAGGTATAATGCTGATGAAACAATTGTTCAAATGACGATGAGAAGCTTTGCAACCAAGCATACATCCTTCAGTTAACCCAAGTTAAGAGCCCCAATTATCTTGGTCAGATGTCCATGTCCTTTTCCTCTTCCTAAATTTCAAACCAACCAATCAGTCAATCAACCGCCAAACCAATACTTGAATATTTCATACCAAGGCTTTTGGGACTCCAATTTGCTTGACAATGAACATATATAATTGCAAACAGATGGAAGCTAAAGCAAATATAAATGCCAAACGGAAAAGTAAAAATCAAAAGCACTTACCACTGCCATCTTATCCCAGTCCTTCAGTTTAGAATTTGTCAACATGTAAGTGTCACGCAATGGTGCCCATGCTGGTTGGCAATTGTCTTCTCCATCTTTAGAAGATCCCTGCATTTTACAAATGTTGGGAGTCAAATCTAACACCAAGCTTAAGTGAAAGCTCAACAAAGAACTCTTAACAACGCTAATGCCTCATTAGAAGGGGGAAGAAGAGAAGTTGGAAAGGGTCACTGCTTTTGGAAGTGGATTTCTAATTTGCATTGTCTCTACATGTGGCCGAAAACCTTGTTCAGAAAAAAAGTTTATACTTAATGTGCTTGTAAAAGGTAAGGTGATTTGAGATTAAATTAAGAAGGGGATGGCAAAGGTTGTGTTAACTACAGATAATAAAAGGTTTTACCAACATTCTAGAGGTGGATCTATTACATTAGGATCATTTTGTGTAAATTGCCCATTTGCTTCATTTTCTCACGAAAATTAAACAGTCATATGGGTCATTATAATAGCACTAGGTAAGGACGATTTGGGAGAATTAGAGTCAAATAGAGTACCTATAATAATATGTAGGAGGATGAAAGCAAACTGCAAGGAACGTAACTAGGCCTCCTATTACAGCTACTTATGCAAGGCGCAAGCGTGGAAATATTTGAAGCAGCGTGGCTATTGCATTTCAGTTTTGTTAAGGGTATTCTGTTATTGTAATAAATTCTGTTATGAGGGCATATTAGTCTTTGTATAAAACAGAATATAATTCTGTTAGGAGGAATGCTTAGGTGTGCTTAGGCAGTTGAGTAATGAGGATAATTAGCTGGCCATCCAGAAAGTGTGTAGCTAATGGGGAGAGCACCTTCCTCTCGAAAGAAGGCCATTGTTGAGTTGTAAGATTACACCGATTTTGCAATACAACCGTTAGCTGCACTAATTCTCTCTCTCTCTTCCTCTCTTTTCCTCCTGTAATTCTGAAATTGATCCAATACCCAGCACAAACAAAATGTTCTGAAAAAGCAAGATAATTGTTTGTGTTTTATGAGAAAGCTGAGCTAGTGGTTGATATTGAGAAAACGGCTATAGCTATAGCTAGAGTGTCATCTTGAGGAGATAATAATGACTAGTAGATTCTACATTTACAATCACAGTGCATTGTTTATCCAGAGGAGGATCCTTTAGGTGCATACTTTCACGTCCTTTATCCAGGACTCTATAAGTTCGGAGTTCCATATTTTCAAGTTATCCCATCCCATATTAATCCAGAAGAAAAGGTATAATACAAAGTTGAGCAGCTCAATAGTAATGAAAACAATAATCAATAACCAAATAAATGCTGCAGTGTAAATTTGAGCCATAGCATACATTGGAAACCAAACCAAATGAATTGTTCAAAACGGTGTATTCCACACTATAATGAGCTAAAGAATTAAGAGGGCCATGGGTGAATTAAATACACAAAGTTTTATGAAGTAGGAAGAGGCATTTCAGACTTTCAACATATTGATAAGAATAAAGTTTAGAAACTCAACCTTAGTTGTTGCATCAGCTGATTGTGCAGAAGCCTTGCTCAATTCTTTCATGAATGCCTCTTTTCTCTGCTTCGTCAAAGCTGGCATAGCAAGGTATAATTTATTGTTCAGAAATAAATAGCTTAAAAAATCATAAGTAAGATGAAATAATAGAGAATTCAAAATATTATAACAAAACTGTCCAAAAAAGTTCACTGTCATACAATTCTAAATCTCTGACAGGAGGGAATGGGGCTTTTAAAATTTAAGCAAAGGGGGCTTCTAGCAAGCAACCATCAAGGTCATAAGGATCACAAGATCAGGATAGGCAATCTAGATCCAAACTCTTATGAAGGAAAGCAATTGACCCTCATGCCTCATTCTTCATACTATGCATCATATATATTTTTGCAGAAGGTACAGAAGGCAGCAAAGGTTGAAAACCTATAATAACAGTCTGACAGCCTGTTCATGGTGGTACAATATTGCAATAATCACATCCCAAGTCTCACTTAGAGCACATCCCCGTCAAATAAGTTTTGCAGCAAAGACTGACTAAACAAAAAGGATTCATCTCTATTCCAACTTCCTTTCTTGCATAAACCATGAATTTCGAAAGATTCACACTCAATTAGGTAGTAAAAGAGTTCCCAATTCAACCATAAACATTGAGGTCTTGATCCTGGTTGTTCTCCTGACTTCACTCAAAATCCATTACATTCTTAACCACTTAATATCAGTGTTTTATTTTATTTTATTTTTATTATATATATTTTTTTTATCAAGTATAAGGATTGTAGACAACAAGGTGAGCTGTGGGTACCACCCAAATACTACAGGTGTGGTACAGACATAAAACCTCATGCCCTCAAGCAATTGTGAAGCAATACCAACCACACAATTTTTTTTTAAATAAAAGAGGTCAAGCGATGCTCATAAGCTCACTTGACTCCATCAATACAAAAAGCCTAATATTTTGGACCTTGAAACTCTAAAGAGGGTAAGTTATACCCTCAAAAATCTGACGCTTTCCTATTTTCCAAGTGCACCATCAATTTCCAATGAAAACATATTCCACATTCCACAACTTTTCCAACCTCCTTTTCAAGCAACAAGAGCTTAATTTACAAAACAAGTTTGAATCCAACTCATCCCAAACAACGCCAATGCTCACAGCCACGAAGAAAATTTCAAAGGACAAAAGCATAAAAGGCTTATCTAATAGGTTCTTCTTACTTGAAACACAAACATCATGGCTTGCTATAATGTAATCACAGCCTCAGACCTCAGTTGATATTTTACTTGATGGCAGGCCAAGTGAAAAATATGGTATAATGTAAGCTTTTGGACCAGCTTTAGTTTCCAAGTATCCGAAGCAGGAAAGAACTTCAACAAAACACTTTGAAGTACGATGGCAAAACTCTTGACACCCTTGAAATGAAATCTAGATCAGTGAATAAGTTCACTTTGGATATGGAAGCTTTGGGTGACAACAGAGTGTTAACAGAAAAATGACAGCTTAAAAACAATAAAATCAGACGGGCTTGAACTAAGTATAAAAATTGGAGTCCTCAGTACAGGACCTAGACAATTATACCTTAAACAGAAGCAAACATATCAAAAAAAAAAAAAATTAAAAGTGAGAACAATACCCTTTGCGTCTTTAAAGCTTGAAGGATTCAACCCTTTCTGAGCATTTTGGGCCTTATTAACCTGGAGACAAGACGTAGAAGTGAAATTAAAATATGAACTTCAATGTGCCAAGTTTGAAGGGGAGAAAATATGTGTTACTAGTAGATAAATTTGTGCAGCAGCACTTACAGCATTGAATAGCTTGACAACTGGAAAATTGTTCAGCACACAAGCATCACGAAGGCACCAATTTCATGGGACAAAAATTGATAAACCAGACATAATGTAAGCTTCAAAATAATATACAAAAACTTAAGGAGTGAGCTTTTGTTTATGGATAATGGATGGGTTATAATACCTCCTTTCGTGGCAACACCTATCAGAACTTTTTCATGCGAATCTAAGAAATTAGCAGGCTTCACATGTCCCTTCTCCTCAATCTAGTTACAATGTCAAAACAATATACTGTAAAAAGAGTGTGCCAGGATAATAAAATATTGAAAAAGATAAATTTTACACAAATTTATATGGAAGGTTAGAGTGACATACCAATTGCTTTTCCTTCTTTGCTTCGCCTTTAACCTTCCGCTCAGTGACCTCTTCTGCAAGCTTTGCCACAACAAGCTTCTTATGTGCTGATAATACGGGACCCTGCAGAGACAAAACCCTTACATATGAGCCACAAACTAACATCTACTTGTAGAAATGGACATCAGAATCTTGTAGAATTACCAGTGCCTCATCATCAGTATGCTTTTTAATGATACTGAGAAATGCCTGCCTAAAAGCATTACAACCTTCAGAAAACCTCGTTATCCCAGTTCGAACTTCATGTTCTTCATCTGAATCTTCACCTCTGTTAGGCCTTGCCTCATTGTCACTGATATCAGAATTATCATCTTTCTCAGCTTCCATGTCTTCACCGTCAATTTCAGCTGCCCGCTCATCATCATCATCATCTGAATTGTAATTCCTAGCCCTTTTACGATATAAATTCTTCATTTCCTTGCTAATCTTAGCCTTCTTACCCATCCCTGGACCAGATTTCATTCTTTTAATACCGGGACGTTTGTTGGGTTTACTATTCCTTCTCTTATGCACCACTGATTGTGGTGGTTGTTGAGTTTCGTCTACCATATTTTCTTTTCCAAATTTCACAGATCAATCCTATACAATATCAAAACCCCCATAAAAAAAAGTTGTCAATTTGTTCATATTTCTCAAGTTAAAATTGTTCTATTCACCCAAATAAAAAATTATGGAACACACTCATCAGAAACAACCAATCAAATCAACAATTATCTATCTTCAATCTATATTAAAATTTTAAAAATCCCATTAATATTCAATAAACTTCCATGAAACAAAAAAGAGGTCTAATTTCATAGTTCAATCCTAACATTAAAGGGTTGTGCAATACATTAGCAACCAAATTTGATTCAATTATCTCATAATTTTAGGTATATATATGATACAGTAATCAAATTAGGATCATAATTTTATTTTCTTTTGGTAATGATGTTTCATAATTTTAGAATTTAGAACCAATAGTTCAGATTTTCGAACCCTACACTTAATGCACTGACACTTAAATTAGATTAGATGAAAGATAAACCCTAGATTGTGAAATTGATATGATGATAACAAAAACAAACAACTTACCTCAGAAGCTGCTACAATGGGGGATACAATTATTAGCTTCAACGGAGAACGTGAACTGCGCTTCAATGGAGAACGTTGAGTGCGCTTCAATAGATAGCTGAGAGAGAGGTAGGGTTGGAGGCCTTGTAGCCCTATTAAAGCCCATGACCCGCCACATTTAAAATGGGTTAGATCCGTCTAATAAATAAATAGACCGAGCTTGTATTAATTGGTATACACTAGACCCTAGTGTAGGTACCCCAACCTACACCCCCTCTAAACGATGTGTTTAGAGTGTTACCCACCCCACTAAGTCACTAACCCACTATTTCTACCCACTAACTGCAGTAAAATAACCCTACCCCACATATATATATATCTACATAAATAAAATTCTATTTCAAATAATTTTCTCTCTTTAAAACCTTCTTCTTCATTTCTCTAGATTTTTTCTCTCATCAAACCCAACAAATTGGAACGAAAACTGCTTCAAACTACAGCAAAATTGCTTCAAAAACTCCGAAATTGCTTCAAAATAGTAGAAATGTCTGACATTCGAGAAGAAATTAAACAATTGCAACAACCTTTACGAAAAGAGTAAGTAGTTTGTTCATTATAGTAAAATTGTTTGTTTAAACCCTAGATTTTATAATTTGTTGATGAAATTTCATGTTCGAAAACATTATATCTAACTTCATTATAATTACTATTATGCATAATTGTGCATTTCTAATTATTTTTGTAGAACCAAAAAAGATGTTTCAGAGAAGAGTACTACAGGAAAAAAGTACTTTGGAGAAAATCATGTTGAAGAAGAAGTGTAAGTTTTATTTCAAATTAATGTAAAATTTCAAGTGTGGGAGGAGTAACTTGAACATTTGTTGATTGATCATTCATGGAATGAGGCCTGAACATTTCTTCATTGAAGTTTGAACAATCCTGAGTTGAAGTTTGAACAATGCCGGAAACTGTAGGTTGAACTTTTGGATTAACTTGAGCATTATTTTTAACACCAGCACCACCTTTATTTATAGGAACATTACATTGAGCTTGAACAGCAGAAACACCAGCAACACTTTTATTTGTAGGAACATTTAAATCCTTCGACTGCAAAAAAAAAAAAAATGCTCATAATAAAATATATAAATGTTCAATTACAAACACTTAAATAAACATATAATTAATTAACAAATAAAATGTTCAATAACAAAACTGCACATGATCAATATGGAAAATTTTGACATATAATATTATCAAGAAAAAATGGTAAAAACAAATAAGCATATATGACATAAAAAATATTAGTAAGTACAAATGATAAAACATAATTGATTAATTTAAAATATAAAAATGATCCAAAAAAATAAAAAAAATTAAAAGCATACAAACAAAATCACGTAATTCTCAAACATAGAGCAATGAAATAAATTGAAGCAACGAAATATTCATAACAAAGTATGAACAATCCAAAAACTTTCATCATAATCATAATCAAAATTTGAAAATTGACAACGAAAAGAATCTTAATATATAAATTAAGTTGAAATAAATAGAGCATTATAACACAACAAAGTATTGATGATAAAAATTACAAAGAGTATAGAAATGACTTAGCAAGATGAAATGACTTAGCAACGCTGATTATACAAAGAGTATACATTTTGAATCATATAGAAACCTTCACAACTAATCCTAATGAGAGTTGGATTGGTGATTTGAAACCAAACAATGTAAGTGTGATAAATGTTCAATAATGTAAGATATATTGTTCATTTATAAAATAGTGTATATAATTAACATTTGTTAATTTATTTTGTTCAACAGGTAAATCAAATTAGGAGCTAAGGATGAAATACATAGCAGGACTGATGTTATTTAAAGAAAACATTTAATCTAGGTTAAATAGAAGAAAAGCAAGAAAGTTTGCAGTGGAGTAGAGTCATATGTTCAATTATGAATGCGTATATGTTCATATCTTATACTTCCTCCGTTACACATTATACCTTGTTGCACGTTTCCCAAGACAAATTTTGTTAATAGGTGATTAATAAAGTAAAGGGTTTGTGATTAAGGGTATGAGAGAGAAAGAGGAAAATTTAATCAACCACCACTACCACCCACAAGCAGCGACATCCACCACGCCCAACGCCCACCACCCACCACGCCCAACACCCAACAGCAGCAACATCCACCACCACTCACATCTACCCACACCCCGAAACCACCACCACCTCATCTCGTAATCACCATATCACCACCACCACCCTATCCCGTCTCATCACCATAACCACCCAAAACCCACTCCTGACAACTCGTATCAACACCGCAACTCGTAACCCAGTCACCACCGCCAAGATCCGAAACCCCAACCCACCCAAATCGCAGCCACAACTAAGATCTGAAACCCCTCCATAACCAACCTCAACAAATTCGCAGCCACAACCTCCATAACCACCGAAAACCAACCTCAATCGATTTTTAGGTTTCAATTTTAAGGATGATCGGTGGCTATAAAAAGGGGGAAAAGAGTCGGCGACAAATTTGACGGGGGAAAAGAAGCCTAGTGACTCGATCGGTGGTGGTTTTCGAAGAAGAATAAAGAAAGAGAAGCGGTTTTTGGGTTCGGTGTGGCTGGTCGGAAATTTTCTAGGAATTTCAGGGCAGCAACGATGGACCCGTTCAAGGTTATGGGTGGTTGGCTGGGTGGGAGATTTCGGCCAGGAGATGGGCTGGGGTTGTGGCAGTGAGAGAAGAGAGTGAAAAGTAGTTGTGGTTGTGGTGGTGATGGTTGCTGTGGTGGTGGTTGTGGTGGAGGTGAGAGAACACTTGGTGATGATGGCAGTGGATAGGTTGTGAGGGAGGAGAGAGATTAAGATTAGGGATTAAATCATAAATAAATTAATTTGGTTTAATATAATAATAACATGTAATCTTAATAATTTAATGTGTGTTATTGAACTTAAGTAAGGGTACATGGGTCATTTTACACAAAAATATTTACCATAAATGAAAATTTTTACTTTGTTGCACATAATGTGTAACATCCGTTTTTGGAAATTGTTGCACATAATGCGTAACGGAGGAAGTATATAGTTTTATAGATAGATGTTTTATTTGAGAGGAAATAGGCTTATAGATATTATTTGTTAAAAAATTATTGTAATTGATATTTCATTTTAATCTTTGTATGAAAAAAATGTATATATACATTTCTGGAATTGGGTTTAAACATTTCTGGAATGAAGTTTGAACAATCCTGAGCTGAAGTTTGAACAATGCTAGGAACTGTGGGTGGAACAAAAGAACCAGCTTGAGATTTTGTAAACGCACTAGTATGAATTGGAACTCTTGGATTCACTTGAGCATTAATTTTAATACTAGCAACACCTTTATTTGTAGAAATGCTAGAACGAGCTTGAACAACAGAACCTTCAACAATATTTAAATCCCTTGCCTGCAAAAAAAAAAGTCAATTGATCAATATAAAATCAATAAATGTTCAGTTACAAATACTTAAATAAACATATCAGAAAAACAAAACCTTAACAAGAGATGAAATATCTAGATCAACACATATGCTGGATTGAAGAGTGCTATCACCAGAAATGATAAAACATAAATACATAAAATGTTCAATAACAAAGCTGCAAATGATCATCATCATAATCAAAATGTATAGTATATATTACAAATGAACATAAACGGTTCCAAAAATGATCAATAATTAATACATAAAATGTTCAATAACAAAACTGCACATGATCAATTTGTAAAATTTTAACACATAATATTATAAAAAAAACAAAAAAGTAAAAACAAATGATCATATATAGCTTGGAAAGTGAACATAAATAAATTAATATGTTGATATGATAAAATATAAATGATTATTTAAGAATATAAAAATGATCAAAACAAAAAAAAAAATTAAAAAAAATTAAAGGTATCGAAACAAAAACACGCAATTCTCAAACACATATTAAAGAAATAAATAAAAAGTATTAGCAATCCAAAAATGTTCATCATCATCAAATCAAAATATGGAATTGAAGCAACAAAAATATATAATACATAAATAGTAGTACACAAAAAACATTGAGTAACAAAATTACATTGAAATAAACAGAGCATTGACGTAACATAGTATTGATAATAAAAATTAAAAAAATTATGATCATAATTACTCACATTGATGAACAAACGAGTCAATCAATCGAATGCAAGAGTGAAACACACTTTTGCAATCTCAATCAAAATGGTAAAGGAAGAAAATCAGGAGAGAGAAAATAAATTGAGCAAAGATAATGTATGTATTAAAAATCAATTGACGTTGATCAATTGAGGAGAGAGAAAATATAAGGTTTAAAATCATATATACAAAGCTAGAATAATAAGAAAGGAAGAAATTAAAAAAGAAAAAACAAGGAAAAAAAATAATCAAGGCAGTTCATGAGTACTACACTACTACCCACAGCAGCTACAAAACGACGCAGTTGTGATGGGGTTGTAGGTAGAACACCCTACATGAGGGTCTAGGGTAAAATTTTCAAGCTTGTATTAATTCTCTGTAAGTTTTTTTGGATTTTATTTTTTATTTTGAAAACGGCTAAAATTACATTAATTAAACTAAGTTTACAACCCTTCAAAAAAAAAAAAACCTTAGTTTACAACAAATGAAATGAGTTTTTTTTTTGGATTTTACTCTGTATTTTTTATTTTGGAAACAGCTAAATTTACATTAATTAATTAAGTTTACAATGCATGAAAATAAAGTAAAGTAACATAAGTTCCTATAGGCATACTAAGCCTTTACACAACACTAACTAAGCCCATTAACGACATTTACCTTTCCGTTATTACAAGAAGTGCGGACAACGCGTATAAGACTTACCAACTTACATTTAAATATGCGATGGGATCATTGGTAGAACGGGGGAAGTTGGTATAAAGTTCAGAAGTCGTTATATTAATTAAAAAAAAAGTCATTATGTTAAAATAAAGGTTATCCCTACCTTATAAAAAGAACAAAATTACTCTTATGAATAGTGTGCTACCAATTATACCTTTTAAAATGTACGTTTACATGTTTACCTGATTATTATGTACAAGTTTTTATTTTGCCTTCATTAACGTTAATTTTTTTATTTTTATTTTGTTTTCCTTCATT